ATTGAAATAGTAAAACGTGGAAGGTTATCTGTTGCTAGTGTTAAAGAGTTCTTGATGCCTAAATAAATAATGACTTGCACTATATGCTGCCGTGTCTTCATCTCTTGCTGGCAGTTTGAGCAACAGTTTAAGTAGTCAAACCCACATTTACCTGATATTTTTATAACTAAATATTCCAATATATATGTATGTCACAGGCAGTTGGTGTAACTTGTGTGGTGTGTGGGTGTGAGCTAACTCCTGCTGCCTCTTAAAGAGGGTGTCACAGCAATTGTGACACTGGTCCCACACCTGTAATCAGTAAGTGGAGATGCTGGTGTGGTTGTCTGACTTAATTGAAGTGCATTTAAATGGTGGAGTTGAGTGAAATGGTTTGTTTTTCTCTCCCTGTAGATAAGCAAGGATAAAGGTAGTGCTGAGAATGTGTCCCCCAGTGATTCCTCTCCTGGTCTTAACAAAGAAGAAGTACTGAAACTGCTTAGTATTTTTGAGTCCAGAATGTCATTCCTTCTCCTCCAATCCATTAAATTGTTAACTTCGACCAAAAAGAAAATTGGGTAAGTTAAACCTTGAAATGTGGGTGTGGATGTGATTCTCATCTGTGAATCCATACAAACTGTGTGCTCTTAAACACAAGAAAGTGGGATTTATTCTCTTACGAAGGTGACTCTTCTGTGCGGAGGGGGAGCCAAGAAATGCCTTGGTCATCTGTATCTTGAATGTTTTCTGTAGTTTTGTGAGTAATTGAGGGAATGACCAAGAAACATCTTTAGTGAGTGTGTGTAGGTGGCTGTTTGCTCTCCTCTTTCCTGACAGCAGTCTGGGGCTGAGCAACAACAAGAATTCAGACTGAGTGCTTGTGTTCACGTAAGAAAATAAATAGTTTGTCATCATGGTCTGAAGTGCACCATCCAGTTCTGAGTCACTGATGCTTTATCATGCTCTGTGATACCAAACTTATCCTTCAGAGGATATAAATCCTATGCCCTTCGTAGGTATAAATTCACACACAAAGCAGTTTAACTTGTACTGCTGTAATTTTGCAGGAATACTTCTCAGTGTCTCCTTTTTTTTTTTTTTTTTTTTTTGAATCAAACTGTTTGCTCAGGGAATGAGGTAGGTGTATGTGGTGTCCTTTATCCTGCCTGCCATTGGTCTTCCTCTGTGACAGAGCACTTGAAGTTAGTGGGGGAGAAACTCCTCTGTTCTGCTGATCTTTTGATATATCCTGGTAATAAAACACATTGGTGACAGCACAGTTTAACAAACAAAATACCTGAGAATAAATGTAGGCACATCAGCAGTGCTGTAGAGAGGGATGTCTGTGGGGAGGATACTCACTGGCAGTAAAGAATTTTCAGCCACCTAATGGAGTACAATGAAGAAATAATCTTTCTTGCTGCTGGGATTCAGAACAAATGTGGCTCCTCCTTTCTGTGCTCACCCTGAAGTGTTGGGATGATGCTGGCAGTGGAATTCCTTACCACCACTCCTGCTTCTCTTGGTTAGATTTGAGTGTGGGTGGTGTGGCTTTTGGGATCCAGAAAATACTTATTTCCTCAGCAGCAAATGTGTTTGCAGAAGCTACAGTGGCTTGTTATTGTTGTTCCTAGTGCTACATAGTTAAATTATACAAATATGGTATTAATTCTCAGCTTGTTATTGTTTTTCCTAGTGCTACGAAAAGTTAAATTATACAAATATGGTATTAATTCTAATATATAGTTCTGGAGAACTCTTTTATGTTAGAAGTTGTGTTAATAGCTTTTGTGATGGAAGCACTGCAGGTGCAAGTGCTGTTTTGCTAAAGGGAAGCTGTGGAATGAATTCCTGCTGCTCAGTAACCTGTGTGCTGAGAGCAGGGGCTGGGGAGGGGGAAAACATGAGAGAGGAGGGAAGCCCCTTCCTTTCTTAGAGGCCATGTGGAATGAATTCCTGCTGCTCCGTAAGCTGTCTGCTGAGAGCAGGGGCTGGGGAGGGGGAAAACATGAGAGGAGAGGGAAGCCCCTTCCTTTCTTAGAGGCCATTTGTTGAGGTGCCTTGTTCGGGGCTTTCACTCCTTCAAAAAGAGTTTCCACAAGGTGGCAACCTGCACTCGTGAAATGCAGAGGGTTAAAGTCTCATTTGTCCGTACCCAAGTAGAGTCCAAGTCACTGAGGAAATTGCTTTAGTTACCTCACAACATGGGTAAGTGGTGTAAAACAAAAAAACTCTTCAGTTCTTGTTCCATGGGTTTTCCCCCCACCTCCATTTACTGTTCTCATCACCGTCTCTCTCCAGTGGGGTTCTGTAGTGCTGACTCCATGCAGGGAACGTGTTACAGTTTGAATATTGTCAAAGGGCAGTGTTTCTAGAACATCTTAAGCTTTTTTTGAACAGTGATGGATTGAGGCTGAGCTTAAAACTACCTTTCTTGTAACCTTAGTAGCACCCGGTGTGGTTCGGGTGGGTGTTTCCTCAGCTCCGCTCTGCAGAAGGGGGCAGGGGCTGCCTCCTGCTCCAATCACAGCCTGAAAAGGGAGGACATTGGAGCTCACACTTGCCATTTTGGGGCAGAGAACAGGAGAATGGGGTAAAACTAAGATTAGATAGTCTGCAAATTTCACTAACAACAAAACTGGATGAAGCCAGAGTTTTACCCTCTAAAAGTGAAATGCAGAAGCGTAACTGAACTGGGCTCTAAGTCGAGGAAAGAAGTAATTGAAAGTAGTATTTTGCTCTGGGAATTCTTGTAACTTGTCCTGGAAATCCTTTGCATTTCAGTGGCTTTTTATTGACTACCTGCTCCGTTCAATAAATAAACCTGTCAGATTTCTGCCAAGTGTTAGGAGTTTAATTTGCTTCACCGTTTCTTGGTTATTCCCGAAGTGTTTGCAATTAAACTGATTGCTGCTTGCACACATACACACTTCATTTATTTATAATATCAATGGCAGCATTTTTTATTTTTATTTTTTTTAATAGTTTGGGTCACTTTGTTTAATGGCCGAGGCTAATAAATGTAGCAGAGCAGGGTTGGGAAGCGGAGGGGTGAGGGTGCTGAAGCAGAAGAGCAGCTCGTGTGCTGGAAGGGATTGAGAGGATTTGTCAAATAGTGGAAAGAAATGGGAGCTTTGCAGGCTGGCGAGAGGAAAAGGCCTGTTGTGTAGGGAAATGTGTGTGGAAATGGTAGGAAAAAGGTTTTGTAGGGAAGTGTGTGTGGAAATGGTAGGGAAAAGGAATTAAGGAAATAAGAGATTCAAACCATGAGCTGTGTGGTTTCTCAGCGCTAGTCATCGATGTTGTTGTTCAATAACTTGGTAAGTCTCAGAAGAAAATATTGTGGTCAGGTTATTAATTGGTATTGCCTGTTTTCTTTTCAGGGGCATTAACGAAGAAGAAGCTGTTCTTAAAACAAACAAGCAGGTGTACTCCCTGCTGCTGCGGGCGACGGCCAACAAAAGCCCGAGGCTGCTGGTGCGGATCGAGGTGATGGTGCAGCTCCTGGAGCAGCTGAGCCCCAGCGAGGGCGGGACGGGAGGAGCCCAGTGACAGGGGCTGCAGGGCAGCAGGAACAGTCAGTGCCTTCCCTGGGGTCACGGGGAGTCTGTCCCATGGGGTATTTTTATTTATTGAAGGTGATGCCATCACCCTGTTACACTGTACGTCTGGGAAAAAGCAGGAATTCCTTCTTACCCCGAGAGCTCTGGTGTTTCTTTGTTTGAAATGCCAAATTGGGGTTCTTTACATTGGAGAAATTAGAGTTTTTCTCTTACAAATAGTGGGCTTTGCCATGATACACGTGTTTGGCATAAAAGGGTGATCTCACAGTTGCTCTGGTTTGATATTTAGTGAAATGGTACTTTATAAGCAAAGCTTCACTGAACACATGGACTGAAGGTGTCCGAGGCCATTTCTGTGGGAGCTGGGGCCACACGACTCCTCCTCCAGTCCCACACCCAACTCTGTGCCTTCTGAGCTTTGATGCAAAACACTTGCAAATATCAGCCACGGCTGGGATTGCAGTTACCCCAGACAGTGAATGGTTTTAGCCGTGTTGGAGTTGATCAAGAAGAGTATTATCTTTTTCAGACTTGAAACTGTGAATAAATGAGAGTGTATTTTTAAATAAAAAAAATTTATTTATTAAATATAAACTCATTAACCGGTCTGTTTTTGTTTCTCTGATGAGGGTCATTAGTCCCAACCAATAAAAACAACTGCTCAATGGAATTAAAAACATCTGAAAGGCAGCAAGGGCTGGAAAAAATCTGTAAAATCAGGTCTAACAAATGAGTTTAGTCCTAATCCCGGCGCGGGAGGGCTCTGCCTTTCCAAAGATGTATTATTCAAAGACAACACTTCAAAAAAAAAAAATAACATCTGGTGTCTTAATGTTTTTCTACAAATAAATGTGGTTCATCATTGTATAAATAATGGTATAAACCACTTTATTTAAAGGCAGTAACAGCATGCAGATGTGTTTTGGTTTTTTTTTTTTTTTACTCTCTCTGTACTTACAAATAGTAGATTAATTACTTAAGGTGCTTGTTTTGTGGAGATGATTCTCACTCTCAGGGTGTGAGATAGAAAAAAGCATCGCTGTGTGTGGGGCATCTTTTCACCCAGAAAACCCCTGTTCATAGACATTTCTATCCTGAAAACTTTAAAGCTGGTTTTACAAGAGCAGAGAATCCAGACACACAACTGGAAATGACTCCAGTTTCTGGGGAATTCACATACTCAGACTCGCAGCTCCTGAGGGTTCCTGTGTTACTCCGTGACCCCCAGCACCACACCAACAACATGAAGGGCTTCCCTAAGGATTATTATTGAGTACATTATGATTTAAATCATCTCTGACTTCCTCGGCATTAGCGCAGGTAGCAGCAGTGCTAAAGGGGATTACTTTTTCTCCTTTCACAGATAAACAAAGCATAAACCACATCCAAAACAAACAACTTTAACACCGTTATTTAAAGCATAAACCGCATCCAAAACAAACAACTTTAACACCGTTATTAACTGTGATAAGCCAGTTTATTTCTCTCTTAATAATCTTCCTTCTTTATACAAATAGAAACCAAACCTTAACTTTTAGGACGCTGTACTGTGAGGATATTGAGAGGCGACTGCTGACTGCTCTGAGCTCCACACAGTCCAGTGACAATCCACAATCACCATTTTAATATAAATCCTTGAAAAACAGAACAAGTAAGCTTCACAACAGAAAATACTTCATTTTCAGTAGGCTTTTCTCCTACAAAGGAAAAAGATGATGGGTGTGTGTAAAACTGATTACACAGAGAAAGGAAAACCTCAGCTTGTGCGCCAGGAGATACCTGAGGTGAGACACTGAATTTATTCCAATATCTGGCAACGTCCACATGAAGTGTTTACGCTGCCCACAGGGGAAAAGGGGGAAGAGCCTTTTTAAGAGATGGTGGACAAATTCTACATTTCCCAGATACTTAGATGCAAACTTCTCCCGCCGGGCCCTGACAAGGGCAGTGCCGCTTAGTCCTGAAAAATACTCCCTGGCAGGACACCATCTGCCAATATCCAGCTCCATCTTCCAACATCCAGCCTCAAACCCCTACAGAGCTCTTATTCCGACACCCGGCAGTTCTGTGCCTGCAGCTTCAACCCCCGCCGAGCTCTTATTCCGACACCCGGCAGTTCTGTGCCTGCAGCACCTTCTGGAGCCCGGCAGCGAGGTCCTGGGGAGTGGGACTCTCTGCCGTGCAGGGAACCGGGACTCCTGCCGCCTCCAGGGCTTCCGCAGTGGTCGGGCCGATGGCAGCGAACTGAAACCACATTATTTACCATTATTTACCATTAAAACAGACATTATTTACCATTAAAATGGCGTAGTCTGGTGTGGCATCGGCTCTGCCTCCTTTGCTGCCACTCTGGGGTTATTCAGCCTGGAGAAGAGGAGGCTGAGGGGAGACCTTATTGCTCTCTACAACTCCCTGAAAGGAGGGTGTAGAGAGGTGGGGGTCGGTCTCTTTTCTCAAGTCACAGGCGACAGGACAAGAGGAAATGGCCTCAAGTTGCCCCAGGGGAGGTTCAGGCTGGATATTAGGAAAATTTTTTTCACTGAAAGGGTTCTCAGGCATTGGAATGGGCTGCCCAGGGAGGGGGTTGAGGCCCCATCCCTGGAGGTGTTCAAAAGCCGGGTTGATGTAGTGCTGGGAGGTCTGGTTTAGTGATGATGCTCCTTGTTTGTTGTGTGGGTGTCTATTTTTGTCAGTTAGGTTGACGGTTGGACAAGATGATCTTTAAGGTCCCTTCCAACCTAGAAGATTCTGTGATTCTGTGATTCTCAAGGTGTCTACTTGCAGGACTGAGCTTAACTGAACCATACCAACCAGGCTCTTGGTATTAAAAACCATCAATCAATGAAGCTACTTAAAAATGACTTAGGAAGGATGATTATTTCCTCTCACTGTTATAAACATTTAAAGCTCTTATTCCCACAAAAAAAGGGGAATTTTAATCTGCCTCAGTCTGTAATCACTGACTGAAGGAAGAACCACTCACACCTCCCCATCACCAAGAGAAAATAAAGCCTCTGCCCAGCAGAGACGGGGTGTTAGTGGGGAAACCAGTTCTAGGTGAAAACAATTCCTTTCTTCCAAAAAAAAAAAACCAGCTGTGGAGTATATAACAGGAGAGTGTGCTAATAAGGGAGGAGGAGGAGAGGGGATGAAGAACACCCTGTGCACAACTCGACGGGTGCAAGTCATTTGCAACTCTTCTATGGTCAGACCAAACACAGATAAATAAGAACAATTATACTACAAACTAATCATCATCAATAACTGCCAGCACCAGCTTTAAAGAATTTGATTCAAAATCAACCAGTTACAAACCTTAACATTTGTATTCCCTGTGTATTCACTACAACCTGCTTTTTCAGAGAAATAAACACAAATCAAAGAGGACATGCAGGTTTGTAACAGGTGTAACAGCTTTCCTACCCCTCCTTCACCAGCCCCAAACTCACTCTCTATTACATTTCACCATTTTTAAAGAGAAGGTACCTTGATATGGGCAAGAAAATCCCCTGAAAGCTTCTGGATGTGCTGGAGGCAAAATTTGACGCCAGATGGACTGAAGAACACAACGCTTGCTGGAATTCCCTGAGTAAAAGTAAGCACAGGTTCTAGCCCAACTTTCCATAAGAAGAAAACCCTGTATTTTGAATAAAATTAATCCTACATACGATGTAGGCTCCTACAAATTCAGAAAGCAAGTCTTGAAATAAATAAAAGCAATTATTAGTTCCTTCAAATCTCTTACCGCACACTGATCCATGATTAAGGACATTTATAGACAGTTTTAAAAAGGGAAAAACATTAATAACAATTCTAGCAAATATATCTCAATGCGCTTCTCAGCACCACGTCACCTGGAGATGTAACACTGGAAATGAGATTATTACATTCATAAATTGGACAATCAGAGCAGGAACACTGAAACTACACAGGGCAGGGAACTACTGCTGGATTCTGATTTGTAACACGTAGCAAAGATGTCCAGTGATATTTCAATTACACTCGTAAAAATTAATAATGAAGCTGTTCAATAAATATCCTCACTAAAGGTAATTTCTGGCACGGTATGAGCTAAAAAGCAGCCTTGTCCAGCTCAATGGAATAAACTGAACATGTCATTATTTATGCAGTTATTTTCAAGTAATTCTCAAACACACACGTATTTTGAAAGGTAGACAAAATGTGAAAGGTTTTGTTTTCTTCTTCAAACTCATTTACAATTGTCCTAACAAATAACCTAACAAATAACTTGTGTTCTGTCTGAAACTTCTGCTAAAGGAGAAGTTCTTCTGGTGGGCAACGGGGGAACAACCCGAGAAGCTGATGCAGGATGTTCTTGTATCACCACAAGAGTCATTTACAGACAGCTGGAAACAGGGGTATATTCTGCTGGGTATTAACATAAACCTCCAAAATTCCCAAATTCCATCAGCACTCAGTACCTGTTGTGAGAAATAACTGCTCAGCGACTCTCGCAGGTCAGGGTGTTGGGTTGTCTGATAAACAGTCAGGCTTTCCAGGGGGATTCCTGGGATCAGAATATACAGTCGTAATTAAATAGGGCTTCATTAATTTCAATATACACTCTCACCATACGAACTGCACTCAAGTGTACTAAAAAGATTTAAAAGGTATTTGTTGAGTGTCAGGATATACACTGATGTATGTGTGTGGGATCAGGGGACCTGGCAATGGCAAACTGGCTGGTGGTGACCAAGTCACCTCCCACCCGCAGGAGAGCTCGGGTGAAGATGAAGGCAAATAATCTTCCTCCCGTCCCAGCTCTGTCCCAGAGCCTCAGGCAGCAGCCCAGCCTCAGGCTTTCACTCCCACCCTCCAACTTCTGGCCAACGTAACAGCAAATCCCATTTATTTTAGTTACTCAAACGCTGTTCGTGAGCTTTAGATCCACCTTTGTGGTAACTGAACTGACTCAAAGGAGGCTCCGAGGGACGTCCCACCTTTCTCTCGCAGCGCTGTAGGAAGCACTTCTCTTTTCAGGGCTCCACAAGGAAAAAGAAGAGCTGAGGAATTGGGTTCCTCTCCTGCAAACACACAAACAGGAACTTTAATTAATTAACATTTCTAATAAAGAGCAAACACGCTCCAACTAATACATTTTAAAGGTATGGGATGTTGAGCACTGCAGTAAATGCCGTCTGCTTTGTCACAGACACAGCCCTGAGAGAAGAGACCACGTCTGCGGTGTGACCACATCCACAGGTCAGAGGAGAGAGGCTGCTTAACATGTAAATCAAAAAATATTCCATAACTCTAATATGAATACATTGGCCCAAAAGATCCCACAACAGATAATCTGCATTTCCACCCCCCCGCCATCCTACGAAGCAGAGCAAGTTCTGTGCAAGTCACCTCCTCCTCCTCCTCCTCCTCCTCACAGACACAACCGGCCTCGGCTTTTATCTTTAATATTAATAAAATATTAGGTGATGTAATTTAATCTGTACTTCAGAGGTTGGTATAAAGTACCCGATAAATGGGGAGCTCATAAATACAACAAATCACCGGGTTTGAGTGTACGTATCAACAACAAGGAGGCTCTAATGACTGAAACTCATCCAGTGGGGGGTCATCAAAGCTGAGGGGTGTTCAAAGGCAGGGATTTTCTGCAGGGATAATTAACGGAAGAGCAGCAGTGCTGTGTTAATTTAAATGTCCTGCTGGTGCCCGGGTATGAAGCCGCCCTCGGGATGCTCCGCTGCAGGAACCACCGAGGAGGAACTGTCCCACTCCCGGTACCACAGGCCCTGTTTTCTCTAGACCTGATCTGAGGGCTTTTTCCACATTCATACAACAAAAGACACAGGTATTTCTCTCATCTTCCTTCTCAGAAAACTTCTCCTTCTGCAAACATTAACTCATTACCAGAAGCAGATTTCCTAGCACTAAAATATCATCTACACCCCCGTCCTTGTTTGGTATGTCTTGGAGAACAGACGTGGGTTATTCTTCATTTATGGCATTTCTGTGTTGAAAATTTCATTTTTAATTTTCACAATTTATTATTTAATCTTGTGTTGGCAACTATCATTTTTACCATGAAATATTCCATACAGTCCAAATATCTTATTTGCCAATGAATTACAGAGCGCTCTGCCCATAAATATCAACACCTGCCAGCTCCAATCACATTATTCTTCTACCTGTAAATCTCTGCTACTGTGCAGGCTTTGCTCATCAACACTCTCCTTCATATCTAACATTACACTAAAACCAGCCAAAAATACCATGTCAGGGTTCTTGACATAATTTCCACAACTGAAGCACCCAGCACCTTGTTCAGCAAGTTCACAGTGTGGTCAGCAGCAGGGCTGTTAAATCAGCAGACACAATAATTTGACCAACATCTAGAATAATTACACTGTCTGTCATGTGTTCCTCTGAGCAGGGGGGGCCAGAGACACGGTGTTTACCTCGACCAGCTGAGTATCGTGGCTTTTCAAAGCAGTGGTCATTCTGGGTTCCTCTAGACAAAGGTTTCTGTTTCCCTTTTTAAATTTGGGCTGGAACCCTTCTGCTGGGAGGACAGGCTGGGGGGGTTCAGCCTGGAGAAGAGAAGGCTCCGGGGAGACCTTAGAGCCCCTTCCAGTCCCTAAAGGGGCTCCAGGAGAGATGGGGAGGGACTCGTGATCGGGGAGGGGAGTGATAAAACAAGGGGTAATGGTTTTAAACTGAAAGAGGGGAGATGGAGCTGAGATCTGGGGAAGAAATTCTTTGGTGTGAGGGTGGTGAGAGCCTGGCCCAGGTTGCCCAGAGAAGCTGTGGCTGCCCCATCCCTGGAGGGGTTCAAGGCCAGGCTGGAGGGGGCTTGGAGCAACCTGGGCTGGTGGGAGGTGTCCCTGCCCAGGGCAGGGGGTGGAACTGGGTGGTCTTTAAGATCCCTTCCAACCCAAACCATTCTATAATTCTACGATTCTAGTAAAAAAAAGTTCATCTTCTAGGTCATATAGTATTACCAGCCAACTACAGAGTCTAAAATTTCACGTAAATTCATACTTTGTCTAGGTATTTCAAAGGGTTTGGTATTGTTATTTAGAGGTATCACCCACATTCCCAGGAGCTGAATTCACAGTCCTACATCTGAGATCTATGCAGTACGTGCTTCCCTGCATCAGTGCACACATGATTTTATTTATAGGAAATCCTGAAACAAGAGAAGGTACAAAAACTTAATTTAATTTGAAGATTTTAGATACTCACTTGAGCAAATATATTCAGCTAATTTTTCAGCATTTCCAGACTTTTCTCCTTGTGGAATAAGACCAATTTCTTCCACTACAACAAAAGCAGCAAAGGAAAACAATGAAATCTACATGAACAATTCAAATTTACTGTAACAACCTGGGCTGAAAAGGGAGACACAAATCGATCCACGCACACAAAGACTTCCTTGAAAAGCAACAAATCAGTGCATTTGAAGTAGTAACATGCTATGAAGATCTAAGATTTCTTTTAGAGTCATAGAATGGTTTTGGTAGGAAGGGACCTTAAAGACCACCCATTTCCAACCCCCCTGCCCTGGGCAGGGACACCTCCCACCAGCCCAGGTTGCTCTAAGCCCCATCCAGCCTGGCCTTGAACCCCTCCAGGGATGGGGCAGCCACAGCTTCTCTGGGCAACCTGGGCCAGGCTCTCACCACCCTCACAGCAAAGAATTTCTTCCTGAGATCTCATCTCAATCTCCCCTCTTTTGGTTTAAAACCACTTCCCCTCATCCTATGGCTCCCCTCCCTGACCAAGAGTCCCTCCCTTACCTAGGGAAGCTGTAGCTTTTCCCACCACGTACGTCGGTTTGGTTTTCCATCTTTGTTTAAGAGATTTTAACCAGGCTGAAAAAAAACATTAAATTAAATTTAAGCACGTGGCAACAAAACATGAATGCTAAATCAGTGTTTGGATTTCTGTCTAATCTAAAAATACAGCAAAATAATAACAACTAATACTCTGCTATATATTTCAGCAAATCCGGTTGTACAAAATGAATTTTTAATGTATTTTTTTCATTGTGTAATAACAGTGAACAACATGTTTCTAAAAGCCTAATTTGAGTGAACAGTTCTTAGCTGCTTGTGGTAAGTAGCATTTTTAATGCACATTTACCCTCTGCCAGATCAGGTGCAATTTGCAACGTTCACTTGCACTAAGAATTTAAAAAAGCATCAGAACTCACAGGAAAAAACAGCACAGAGGACAAAGGGAGATTTAGATTTAAAAGTGAAGGCTTAGGCAAAAAACAAGTATAATCTTGTATGACAACAAATAAAAGGGTAAAAAACCTACATCCCTGCTCCACGGTACTCTACAATGCAACTCTTTCACAGAAGAAAAATACAAAACCTGGTTATTTTTTAAACACACACACAAAAAAAAATGTTACCAGCTCAGAAATAAAATGTGCCAGAGACCAAAATAAAATTACTAAGAAATTATTTTCCTCCTTCAGGTCCTAAGTATGTTATAGACTACACTTCTTGGATCCAGTTATCTGATCCCTTCGCCTGAAATCCTAATGGGTCAAAAATCTTACACAAAATACACTAAATCTTTCACTGTCTTGTCTTAAAACAGCACAGCACAGGACAGTGAGTCCCTTTCTAAAAGAGGCACACTGCAAACATCTAGCAGTGGGGGAAATAAAATTACAAACTTCACAAAATATTGAAACGGAAACACCAAGGAATATAAATATGCATTTACCTTCATTTTTACTCTTCTCTTTTAAACATATCTTGATGGCTTCTAATGCTCTCGGACTGGTGAAAACTAAGCCTCCGTAACATTCTGGATGAGAGAGCTACTTAGAAACAGTAAATTAAAAAAAAAAAAATGAAAAAAAAAGAGTAAATAAATGAAAAAATTAAGTTGATAAATTCTTTATACTCTTGTGAAGAACAAAACAGTTTCAATGAATGCCTGAAACTGAAAAGGATTAATATTTCATTACTGTCATAGAATGGTTTGGGTTGGAAGAGACCTTTAAAGATCATCTCATTCCACCCCCTGCCCTGGGCAGGGACACCTCCCACCAGCCCAGGTTGCTCCAAGCCCCATCCAACCTGGCCTTGAACCCCTCCAGGGATGGGGCAGCCACAGCTTCTCTGGGCAACCTGGGCCAGGCTCTCACCACCCTCACACCAAAGAATTTCTTCATGAGATCTCATGTCCATCTCCCCTCTTCCAGTTTAAAGCTGTTACCCCCTGTCCCATCACAACAGGCCCTGCTAAAAAGTTTGTCCCTTGTGCGTGTTGACCACCCCACTGTCAGCAGCCAGAGCATTTATAAGAGAAATGTGTAACAAATACCAAATTCAAACTCAATTTGCACGGATTATATTAATTCTGAGAATCTGTAGGAACAGACCAGGACTCCTCTCACTGGAATAAGCTGGAAGGACAGGAGAGTGATGTATGAGGTACTTACAAGTTCAAATAAGAGAAAAATATCTCTTATTCCAAGCAGTAACACAGAGGGTACTACCCAGGCAGCTGCTTGTCCCCTGCCCCCCCAAGGAACAGCTACAATTATTAACAGGCTCTCACAGATCAGTACAAAAAAGGAAAAAGTGTTCTTGGATCATTTGTAAATGCAGCTCACGATACACTGAAACACACACACTTCAGTGCTGTTGGAGACTGTCAATAAAGGCAACCTCCCTCAGAAAACAACATTTTAAAATTAAATATGTACATTGAAGAAAGAGTAGAAAGAGAAGCATGGACTATGGAATTTTATTCCATGTCAGGAGGAGATGCAGTACAGGATTTCAGCACACCCTAAGGGTGAGCCTCGGGGAGTCTTTAGCTGTCACTATAAACCTCTTTTTTTTTGTTGTGAGAAAACACCACGACACCTGTGACTGCCTCCAGACCAACAATCTAACCATGAATTCTGTGTGACCAACTTAATTCTTCAACAAGTACAGGCAACGTGCCCGACGCTGTATACAATATTGTATTGTGTTGTACAGAATATGGTATTGTACACAACTGTGCTTGTGGAAACACAACGAGAGGCACCACAAAGGGCAGCACTATTATTACAGCAAGGTAAGACACAGCAGCCAGCAACCACGGCCTAAAGCCTGTTGAAATATAAGACAACTGAAATAATGTAAAACTTACCTTTTCAAACAAGCTTTCAAGAGAGATGAATTCAAATGACAAAACTGGAATCAAAGTTGCTTCAAATCCATATAATCCCAATTCCTATTAAAAAAAGTAATTCACAGCTCTTGAAATAGATGTCAAACAGTAGTTATTTTCTTTTTCAACGAACTGAATGTCAGCACAAGGATTTCTTTTTACTAAAGTAAAATACAAAAGCTTATTTGCTTTTTCTAGTGAATCTAGTTTGGTTTTGTTAGTTATTTAGTATTACAACATAATCCTAAACAAACAGCTGTGGAACCGAGGCCTCCCACGGAGCTACTGCAATTACAGTGTGCACCAGTCCCCAGGTGACAAACCATCACACAGGCCTGCAAATGTTCTTCCAAATATCTCTGTCATTCTTTAAATTTAGTCAATAAGACTGCTCTTAGGAGTAACACCTACTCACATGACTAAAGGCAACAGCAGAAGGGACCACAGCAACAGGTAACCTCTCTTTCATGTTACATTTCCAGTAAGACTATTAATATTTTTTGTCATCTAAATTCTATCCACATGAACATAATCAATATTAATTAATTAAAATTAAATTGTTTTAGTATCAGTAGTTTGCTGAGAGCCTTAACAGTGAATTCAGTACAAATGCCCCATAACAAATCATTTTTTCAGTAACAGAAAATCATCTAGCACGCTTATTTATTAGCATAATTTCAGACATGCATCGCTCATTTTGGTTATTTTTCTTAAAAATCACAATTTCAGACATGCACCCCTAATTTTGATTAAACACGTTTTTCACTTGAAACAAATTAATCCACCTTGCTGAACACGATACTGTTATTTAATAGTGAAGTGACACAATTGTTCACTTTTTTTTAAAGTTTACTCACTTTAACATAGGGATCCGGTCCTGAATCCTTGTCTTTGGGATCCTTCAGCAACAGAACCTTCATTGTTCCTTTTTTAAAAAAGTTTACTCACTTTAACATAGGGATCCGGTCCTGAATCTTTGTCTTTGGGATCCTTCAGCAACAGAACCTTCATTGTTTACCAAACAACTGCAAAAGAACTCTGAAATACAATAATGGGATTTATCTAAATTAGATCTAGAGGGGTTTCTGCTGAACAGGGACTTGAATAGCTCAGCTTCAGAGGTCCTGGGCTGCCAGCAGCTGCCCTGCTCTCCATACAATGAGTAAGCAGTTAATGGACCTTCTCTGGGCGTGAGTATCCACCCCGATAAGGCCAGCAAATAATGTGCTGCCTTTAGATAACACCCCTGAAGGGAGAAACTATAATGAAAGGAGAATACATATTAACGGAGAATATTTCATAGAATTAACAACCCCTACAATGCAGTCACTTTCAGCAATGTAATAAGCTCCTATCTATAAAAATTTATTCTATTTTATTCATTTCCATGCTAGTTTCCACCCTCTGCTCATCGTAATGAGTATAAAAGGGTTTATGTATCAAGGGATTTAATTTGATGCATTTGGGGTCCCACCGTTTTCACGGGGAGGGAGGGGAAACACATGCAGGGCAGCGTTTCAAAATTTAAATAAAAAAATCCAAACATACGTGCATATGTATACATACTTATACATCTCAATATAATATATATAGTACTCAGATGTCTTCTTTGATATATCTATAGTAAACAATGCAAGACTGAAAAAATATATTCTGCCATTAAAATGGAAAATGACGGTTCCCAGTTCCTTAAAAGCCGACTTTGGTGCTGAATTCAAAGCCTATTAGAAATACACCAAATACAAAACAAATACACCAAGCATCGAAGTAAGCAAATGCAATAACACAAACAAACAGAAATCCATTCTCTAACCTTCATTATCTATGTGTTGCTTTCCTGAGAGATCACATACTAGCAAATTCTCTTTGAAACTAATAACTCTGGACTGTTGGACTCCCACATACTTTGGAGTACCCAGTTGCTGGTGGCTTGGAGGAGGCAGGGCTGAGGGACTCTCAATCCATTTAACACTGTTTTAAAAATCCAATACTCTTGTAAAAACATACTTTGTGCATAGTCCTGTGCAGTATAGATTGTTGTTCTGATACTTATGTTACTCACAATCTTTACTATAACTCCACCTTCAGTGCTTATGCTCTAAGTATGATACATTTCTACTAGTACTCAAAGTCGAACAGCACCAAGAAAAATGTTAACTCTAAGCTACCGCACCTATTTCCAGAATATATCATGTTTAATAACATTATGAAGTCATCAAAATATAAATGTAAGCGAAAAAATCCTTCCAAACTGTACAATACAAGATAATACTACTTTTTGCAAAGAGTGATTTCCACAGGTATTGTAATAAAACCCCCAGATGACATGAGACAGTTCATTCAGGTACACCTGGGGAAAGCAGATTTCTAATTAATGACTTTAGGTAGTTAGAAACGAATTAACTTCCCATCCTGTGCCTTATTACTGCGTCAAGTAATGAGTAACAATAAGAAAAGGGTAAACATCCATGCTTAACAAGGTTGACTTACGATAATCAAATTAATTACTTTGTTTAGATCCTGCATGCAAAAATATATACTGAAACCAAAGAATAATTACAAAGCCCTCAAATGTCATGAACTACCACAAGATGCAATTACCTGGCTGATTCCTCTGCAAAGAAATCGTACAAGCTGGATTTTGGACTCGGCCATCTGGCTCACAGCCCTGGCACCCCCAGAAGCCACTGGCTGAGTGTCAACCCTGCCAGAAGGAAGCTCATTTATTTCCTCTAAAAAGGGGCTACAAGTGTCCAACATAAGACAAATCTGACCTAGGGAATCTGTAAGTTTGCGCATTTGTGAATAGCGTATTTTGGTCTCAGCCACCCTCCGAGTGCTGTTGGTTTTACTGCTGAAAACATTAAGTCTCTTTTTTTGCAGCCATAAACTTCTCGGACCGTTCTGTTCTTTCCGCCTGCGCGGTTCAGAGAGGCTGGCACTGATTTGGTGAGAGGCACGAGGGCATGAAAACTGGTGGAATAGTCCCATTTCCAAATGCCAGGGCCTCAAACCCAACGCTCTGGGTGCAACCCAACCAGACTCACCTTCTTAACTTTTTCCTTCTTACAGTAAAACCCAGTATTTTTACTGGTTTACTTGTGTCCTTGGGATGTTACCAAGGAGTGCCCTACAAATGACCGAAATACAATTTTTGAAACAACCAGCTTTCTGCTGAACACACTGAGAGTCAAGAACCCCGAGAAACATTCTTACTGAATCCAAGAGCATTAAGAGAAAGCACGTTAAGTAAGACATGCATCTTCAGTAATTTTTTATGTATTCTGAGGGAAGTACTTACAATACAAACATATATTTTAGATATTTTATCTATAAATTCTATATTTAATCGAGAGGTACGCATAAACTTCTAAACAACCATAAAAAGTTTCTATTTAGAATAATGAAAGGACTTAGCAGAGTCCTGCAGAGCTCAATCTATATCTGGAAAAGATAATGTGTATGAATAACTTGAAGTTTTCCACTGCCAAGTCTTTGTTTATAGGATGACGCTGGCCACCCACTTTTGGCTCACCACACAAGCACTTTAATTGCCTGAGCACAATAACAACCCTGCAAAGATTGTTCTTCAAACGTTACAAAAAATACCATTTAAAACCCATTAGGCTTGCAAACAGCTAATAAGAGGACAACAGGTTTTTTGTCTTGAGCACACAGACAGAAAGATGAAGAAAAACTTGTATTAGTCAGTCTGAGGTTTGGGAACCATCCAATTAGCTCTGATAATAAACTACAAGAGCGACTGCGGTGTCTGAGGCATTACATCATGACTGAAGCTAAAACCAGCTTGCTGCTATTTCTCCGAGTCCACATTACTTAATTTTAAGTCCACCTTACTTAATTTAAAAGAAGGGTCATTTTAGGTCACATTGTATATTCAGAATATTCTGCTTACAGGCATAATTGAAACTCTTCCCATTCACAGTATCACACAGTAAAATTCAACATCCCTGTGCCCTCAATTAAAATACAAAGCTGATTACAATGTGTGTCCCTGGTATTAGTACAGTAAAAATGAGCAATGCTTTCTCATATTACAAAAAGAAAAACCTTTGCAGATTTTTTATATGAAACATTATACAGAAAGAACATCTCTGGGGGTCACTCCATTTTCATTTCAAAAGCTCACCCCAAACTAATTGCAAACTATCTTTAATACAGAGGACAGCCTGTAAAAAGAAATAAATGGGTCCTTTTGTTTCTTACTGCTAAGTGACACTGAGAGCTGCAAAATATATTAAACATTTCTAATACTATTCTGATTATAAGCAACTGCATGGGTCACACAATAAGGTTTGATTGCCAAGTGCAAAGGGAATTGTCTGTTCCATCATAAACGTAAATGAAGATGAAATATAAGACACCACTGAGATATCATTTTTAAAAAACCTCTTCAAACCCTTGGGCTAGGATATTTGATGCTATGCGTTTCTTACCAATATTCTTTTACTATGATTAGGTGGGTTTAATAACCAGAAAAGGAAAAAAGCCTACCTGTAAGGCTGCCAAGTATGGTTCTGAAATCTACCAAATTGAGAGATGTAACACATACATCATCAACTAACAACAGCAACAAAAGATTTGAGAATAATTCCTGCTATTTGGGTGTCTATGTCACAAAACTCAACAACAAAACACGTTCTTTGACGTGGCAATCCAAAGGAGCAACAAAGGACAGGCCTTTCTACTACATCCTAGATTTTTACCAAAAGCATTGTTAGGATTTAGTGTCACTATTGACTGATACGGTTTCAAAAATACAATAGAAAACTATATACAGATGCAGACTGCAAACTTCCAGAGGCAGTTTTCCTGTAGCAGTAAAGGGCTTTACCAATACATCTTTCCCCACGCTGTATTATTTCCCTGCGTGTCAATGTTAATTCCTATTTTGGCAATGACCTTAGTGCTCCCAGACACAGCTCTCAAAAAAAACCCCAAAATACCCCACATCACCGAAAACCCATAAATATGTTTAATACTTTAAAGAGAGATGCAAATTCTAACCTATTTATTATAAAGCCAAAATTACATCTCAGGCCCTGTACCTTGCATTTCCTCTGGCTGGCTACAGCAAACACCCAATCCTCTTCTTTAAGTTACTTCACTAACACCTACTTTTCTAATAAATTACTAGACATGAAGACTTCAATGGAACAGAGTCTGCATGCATGAGCTCAAACATTAATGGCCACTTCTATACTTGTAGTGCTCAGGATTTTTCAACACATTTTCGTGATAGATACTTTCATTTAAAAAAAAAACATTTACGTTGTGTTTATTGTATTCTACCTCACTGCCTTTTCTGTTTGTTTGTCTGGAATGGCCTATAACTAGTCTGGGAATTATTTAAGTAAGCAGTAAGCACTTGATTCCTTTTTCAATTTGACTTCCAGCAATTTGACTAATGCCATAGATGCTCAGGACAGACTGACAGGCCCCAGTACTGCCTTTCAGCCTCCCTTTGGCTTTATTTTCTTTACAACAGTGCAACTGACAGGTTCAACAGCAACAGGCCGAGCAGAGAGGCGGCCAGGGCAGGGGAAACCTGAGGGCTCTGGTGGCACGGGATAATTATTTTGCTTGCCTTTAAACAGACGACGCTTCCATAGGGCAGGGAGCTGTGACCATTAACACCATTTCCCACTGTATTCTAAGTCCCGGCAGAGTCCGGATGACTTTCCTACAACAAGGTATTTCTTTTAAAGCTGGTGACACCAGCAGAGGGAATCCCGGGGTTCTGAGGAGGCAGGAGAGGGGCGGCCCGGGACGTGTCCTCCCTTCTCCCCCCCTCTCCCCACACGTCCCGACAGGCCCGGGAGCCCTCCCCAGGACCCTCGCCCCACAACCCAGCCTTCCCCTGGGATTCACCTCAGGGAACGGCAGCCACGACCTACCCCAGCTCCCGCCTGGCACCCTCCGCTCTGCGGCCACCACACACCCGGAGGCGGCGCTGCCCCGGGCCGGGCCCACGGCGATTCC